CGTTAGTTTGGGAATTTAAAGATAATATTGGGCTAGCCTATTTTTTTATAAAAAGAAATGCAAAAAGACATGTTATGCAATAGCTTTTTAAAAATAGTTTTTTTTTTTATTCATTTCACTAGCGTTGGGTTTGAATAAATCAAAAATTTTTTTTTTTTTTATGCTTTTAGTGTATATATTTTTTTTTAATGGATTTTAAAATCTTTAGATATTGTAAGATATTTTAAATTGGATTCTTTTATATTGATGTTCTTGAGGGATAATAAAGCTATTTTTCGTAATAAACTTTGACAAAATTTATCATCGTTAATAATCGTGGATTTATCTGACAGTAGTAATACGGTATATAGTTTGAATAAAATTACGTTAAAAATGATTAATATTTACTAAAAAAAAAATTAGATATTAAAATAAATTTAACGCGTGCCTTATATTTTAATGATATAGTTATTTTTTTTTTTATTTTTTTTCAAAGTATCTTTTTGGGCTAAATCTATAGTAGTATAGTAACAAAAGTACGGCTAGCTATATTTACAACTTTATCTTTTTAATAGTACTACGATTTTGAATATTCTCTTATATGACTTCACATTTTCAACTTCGGTTTTAGCAAATTTCTTACAAAATTCAGGTTTTCTTTTCTGAAATCTAGTAATTTCGACTACGAATTTTTAGTTGATCGAGTATTTAACATTTTTGTATGTGAGAGGTATATTTGTAACGCTAATACTAAAAATAATTTTTCAAGAATAAACTATTTATATAAAAATAAAATACAAGATAAAATTCAAGATTCCGTGCTTTTTTTCTTGTTAATATTTCTGTACCATTGGAAGAAGAGTATTCATTCGTAATTCTCTGCAAAAAAAAATTATAATTGCTTTCTGAGGTTGTAGATTTTGTATTAGTAACATTACATGACAAATATATATTTCAGAAATTTATTTAGCATTTAAAAGAATACTTACTCGTAAAATCAATAGAACGTGAACATAGGAAACAGGATTTGCCGATTCCTTAAATATTTCGTATGGATATTTTTGTTCTACCAACCGAGAGATAATATTTTATCACATTTTCTTTTATCTAGTCACACAGTAAATCCCTTGACAGCACGTGAATGTTCAATACTAATAAATCGACAATCCAAAACCCCACGAAAATGAGAATAAATCTTATCATAAGTATAATCTTCTTCTGGAAGAACAACGGGAGTGACAGGTTTGTAATCTTTAGGAATTGGCATGTACTTTTCAACGTAAACTTGTTTTCCAAAGGGACGATCATCAGAGGAATGATCAAGTGCACAAAATGCAAAGAAAGAAATAATTATTATAAGTAACGGCCAGATTAAAACCTTCTTGAAAGAGTTGTGATTATTAAGAGTAAATATTTTTACTTTTACAACTATATAATTTTCAATGTAAGATAAATTGCTTATGACATAAGCTATGGAAATGGAAGAGATAAGCATGCTATTCAAATAATCCATATAAGTAGTTATACATGATAAAGAAATCAACGTACAAGAACAAATATTAATTAAAGCATGAATAAATCGACATTTTACAACAACACGTCGAGTTTGTGTGACACCATTAAAGGAAATCAACCAGACATTTCTTAAGAGAACAACCATAACACAAATAATGATAAAAATCATTGTTGAAC